ATTATTATTATTATTATTATTATTCAACATATTACAGCCATTATTATTGTTCAGACCTGGCTTTTAAACTGTTTTTCTCTTGTAGAAAGAGTAATTTTACATAATGCATTACACACATACAACAATACAATCTGTGTTCCATTTCATTCTATCTTATATCTTTACAATGCTGGCCTAGGTTCATTAAATTGCTCTCCTGACCTATCCATGGGTTGCAACCCATAATTTGAAACGCTRTTTAACTTGAATGTACAATACCATAATAAATATTCATATACATTTAATATTCTTCTGATTTCTAAGATTCTCTAACTTCTGGTGCTGAGTCCAAAAGTAATCTAAGTAACTATCACTTGTCTTTATTATTATATACCAGCATGAGAAACCAAACCAAAACCAAACCTTCTGCACACAGAGGATGCAAGTACACCTGGTGGTCTCATAATAAAAGCCTCTCCCAAGGACTTGGCTCCAATAGCCCTCCCCATCATCACCCCCACAGCCTCTCACCAACTGGGCAGATGCTGTGTTTTTGTCATAAGAAATACAGAATGGCCTTTAGCCACACAGGCTCCTGAGTCAGGTTTCCAGGTTCAAATCTTAGCCTCAGTCTCCCCACATATGTGCTTTTGTGAAAGCCACTCAACTTCACAAGAAAGAGAAATGTAAACTTCTGGTGTTAGGCTGCTCTTTACGCAGCATTATTGCAGAACTAGCTGACAAATACACTTGGCATATGATTTGTGCTTAGTAAATAATATCATCCTTGCATAAACTCATTTTTTTAAGTTGCATTTTGTACTATGGTACAGGATTGAACTCAGAGGGCAAAATGGGGGACCAACCTGTTTTCACACTTGTGCCAGTGCCTGAAACTGCACCTGGTAAAAAAAATAAATGCCTAAGAAATAGTTGTCGAATGAATGAATGAAGGTGCTTACTCGCAGCTACATCAAACGTACTTGCAAGATGCTAGCTTTTTAAAAAGCCAGGTTTAAAGCCAGAACTTAACAGTGCTACCTGTCAAAACCACAGCATGCCAGAGCTCATGGCAGGTCTTGGCCAGCGCCCCAACCTGGGGATGGAAAACCAGACCTGGGGTGGGAGACCAGAGGCCAACTTCAGATGGGCATTCCTCAGGAAATCAAGTCCAAGGCCCTCCCTGTTCACTCGTGATCCCAGCTCTGGTCTGTGGCACTTACCTTGGGCACTGTTCACAGAGACGCTTAGGCTACACCTTAGTTGCATTCCAAAGAGCTTTAATTAAAAACCCACTTCTACGCCACAGAAGCATCTTAGCCAGGGCTGCGGCTCCCCAACAGGGGAAATCATTTTCAGAGAGCCATTAAGGTCAAATGAATCGCCACGGAGGGGTCACAGTGTCCCTGGGCCATGAGCATGTGTCTTCCACATCTAGATTTCTGTGGTTTTCTAACTCGGGGGTTGAAGAGCGGGACTTGCAGAATCCCAAGGAAAAATAAAGACATATAGATGGCTGGCCTTTGGCTTTTGTGGTCATAACATTATGACTTACCATTCCAGGTGAACCTTCCAATATCTGAAATGGAAGACCACCTACCATGATCGTCACTGCCTCACGGGCCTACCTGAGACCAGTTCCAACTGCCCATTCTGGAGGGCTCTGTGCTAAGACTGCATTTGTCTCTGGATCAATGAAATAGGCTGCATGGTGGTCCCCAAACATAAATGTCCTCATCCTAATCCTAGGACTTAGGAGTATGAATTTATATGTCAAAAGATATGATTCAGGATCTAAAGAGAACAGACACCTCCAGGATTACCCAGGTGGGCCTGGATCACAATCACAGGTGTCCTTATAAGAGAGCAGCAGAGGGAATTTGGGGACAGACTCAAAGAAGGAGAGGTGAAGATGGAGGCAGAGATCGGAGTAGTGTGGCTACAACTCAAGGAAGGCCAAGGCTGCAGGAGGCCACTGAAGTTGAACCAGGCAAGGAACATTTATCTTCAGTGCCTTCAGAGGGGACGTGGCCCTGCCATCCYTTGATTTCTGATTTCTGGCCTGCAGGACTGTGAGGGAATCCATTTTTTTGTGTGTGTGGGAATGTGTTACAGCAGTTTCAGAAAATTCCATATTTAGGTGAGAAGAGCCTCAAAGTATGGATCAAACATTGGAAGGCAATAAAGCATGTGGCTAGGATGGAGYAGGAAAGCGAGTCAGAGCTTGGAGATTCCCACATCCTGTGTGTCCTTGGTGCAATTCCTTTGCATTCCCTGTGTGCCAACAGATTTGGCGAGGTCCATCAGCCAGGAAGGACATGACTCCTAGAGGAGCTGGCGAGAGTGAATCCTGGTCTCCTAGATGTTGTCTCCGGGTCTCTCGGGAACAAAACCCCTCAGATCCACTTTTACAGATGAAAGCAGAAGATGCTGAGTTTGAAATTCAACTCTTTAGGAAGACGTCCAACAGAGGCAGAGAGGGGGTGGTGAAGGGCAGGACTGGGGGACTGGGACCGGGACTGCTGAGAACAAGGTGAGCCGAGAAAAGAAAGTTCCATATTTAGGTGGAAAGAGCCTCAAAGTCCGGATCAAACATCGGAGGGCAGTAAAGCGTGTGGCTAGGTGACCTGCACTGTGAATTTTAGAAATCGGTCTGCCCTCAGACTGGCTGATGACAGCAGGGCCGCCGCCCTCTGCCCTTCCCCTGGCCTTTGTATGGAGTTACCTCCCAACATGGCTGAAAGGGCTAAGGAGGTCACCAACACCCGGGAAGTTGTGAGAACAGAACACTGGGAAGCCCTGAGGAAGGTCTCTGTCCTTCTGCTTCTCTCACGACACAGCGTGGAGCTGGCACACCTCACTCCTTTCTCCYATGAAGAGAGCACCCACTGTGTGCCCAGCACGGAACCAGGACCCTCCTATGTGGCAGTGAACATGAAAGTCACGCTCCTGCCGCTCTAGAGGGCTCTCTAAAGGGTCTTCACTCAGTGGCATCAGAGGCTGCAGCAGGAGGATGGCAAGTTCCAGGCCAGCCTGAGCAACCTAGAGACCCGATCTCTAAATTTAAAAAAAAAAAAAAATTGGGGTGGTGGGGGGGGTATTGGGAATGTAGCTCAGTGGCAGAGCACCCCTGGGTTCAACCCCTAGTATAGTGAGAGAGAGAGAGACAAAGAGAGAAAGGGTTTTCAATTGGGGTGACTTTGCCATACTCCCCACTGCGGGGGACATATGGCAATGTCTGGACACATTTCTAGTTGCCATGATTGTCAGGAGCAGAGGTGCTATTAGGACCCCATGGGTAGAAGCCAGTGATGTTGATGAACGTCCTACAATGTACAGGTCCAAGATGTCAAAGCACCGGCTGATACACTGTGTCCCTGAGTGGCCTCAGGAGGCAATGTCTGTTGGTGCCATGGTGCATGGTGAGCTAAAGCRAGGAAAGATAGGGCTGCAAGAGACGTCAGCCACCCTCATGGGGTGRTGACAGGCAGGCCTGTGAGCAGGTGTCCTGAACATCTCCTACAGAGTCCCCAACATGAGGAAGAATTTTCTAGGCAGGAGAGCAAATGTGCTCTTAGGTGGCTTAGGTCTCTCGCAGAGGGGACAGTGGGTAGGTGGGCATGTGAGGCAGAGGAGGGGGTGGGGACACACAGAAGCCTTTCCAAAGACTGTCCCATCACCCTGTGCGGGAGTGGAAGGACCATCTCTTCTACAAGAGGCAGCTTCACTTGGTTAAGAAGGTGGCTTGGAGTCAGGTCTCCATCTAAGTCCCAACTCATGAAGTCTTGGACAAAACACTTTTTGAGTTTCTAAATCCATTTTTAGAAAAAAAGGCAGAGGGAGCTGGGGGAGAATAATGTCTTCCTCAGGTGGCAGTGTTAGGATTAAATGAGAAAATGCACATAGACGGCTTGGCACACGGCCACCAATAACACACAGTGCTCTTATTTGTGTTTTCAAAGGTCACTCTGGGCCCAGTGTGCAGAATAAAATGGGAAAGGACAACCAGAAACACTCTTCACCGGGAAAACCAAACAAAGCAAAAAAACAAAATACTGAAATTTCACAGAACAAAAACTAGCTCGGGCAAGGCAGTTTCCGAGGAGCTTTAAAGTCCTTGATGCGACACCGTGGTAACCTTAAGGAACAACAACAGCAACACGAACCGCTTCTGTGTCCATTGAAATCACAATCCTTTGAAGGTGCAGATGTCCTAGATTCCCAGAACAACAGATCCATCCATCCACTTTATCCACTTTGTCCACCCTGTGGAAACCTCGGGAAGATCTTTACTGCGGCCCTCCTCAGTGAYGGTAACAAACGGGCATCCTTGCCAGCGTACAGCCGAGGGTCCCACAGACAGCAAGACCCTTGCATACCCACTAAGGGAATCACCTTGGTGCAGTTTTCAGGAAATCCACTTGCTTGCTGCTAAAGAAAGGGTTTCAGGGTAACTGCTGGCAGCTCTCCCAACAGAAAGTTCTTGGAAAGAAGTTAGGCTACTTCTACATCCATGGTCGCCAGGCAGTAACCATGGTTCCTAAACTCACTCTTGGTGAGCCAGTGTCATTCACCAGAATTAAATCCTTCCTGCTCAACACTGTGAGAGGGACACATAGGACACAGCAGAGTAACTGTTTTGCAGCCAATCAAGTGACATCTACTGCTGATTGATCAACTTACTGGTAGTGGCACAGTTGAATACGGGGAAAGATGCCCTAGAGACCCGTTTTTCCCCATAATCTTCACTATAAATGACACATGATACAAACCAGGTACACAGGCATACCAAACGGGCATTCAGGATGCAGGAGGGGAGTCACCTCCTTTCAAGAGTGAAAGACCACCTTTTGGTTATCTGGTCACCACCCAACACCCACACACGGTCTCAGGGCCCAACCTGGGAATGCATTTCTCATGCATGTTCCAAATTTCCAATTTCCAAAGAGATAAAAATCCAAATCACAGAAACAAGTGACCAGTCTTTATCTGCACATACTAAGTTGCTTTTATTAATCCAGAACGGCATGCTACAGATACTGTACAGCATGAACATTTATTCATTACAAAAATGGCTTCCAAACCATTAAAAATGAACTTGGAATAAGAGCATAAAACGGAACAGTAACATCACAACTGTTAGGAAACATTCAAAGTATTCACAAAAAATGTTATAGTTAGCATTTTAATAAACCAGAGAAAAATCGGAGACAGTTTTACAATCGCTTCATGTCAACTACAATGGCACTGAATGAACAGGTTTCAGCTTTATACAGCATTTTGCAACATCAACATGCCTAGGTTTTTTTTATTTTTAAAGTTCGCTACCTACTTGTATGTCTTGTGTGTACATAAAAGCGGCAGCTGGTTTTTTCATTTTAAGAGTAATCTAATATACAGAATTTTGGCCCTTAAGGGTTTATACCTCTTCATTTAAAATGCTTTCTGGACAATCTGCTACCAAACACATTTTGTTATAGGTGACATTAAAACTACATACAAATCTACCTATGTAACATCACAGCAAAACATGGTGAACAGAAAGTACAGCATCAAAAAGAGGGAGAAAGCTAAAGTCACTGAGAATTTTGGCACATCAAGTTTTGCACACGGTCAGTCCATGTCCTAAGGGCACAGGGCATTTGACTAGGAGTTCACAGGGGAAACGGGCGGTTCCCACTGCTGCTCAGACAGCTTCGCTAGGATTCCCTCACTAATGTTCAAGTCTTGTTTTACATAATGGCTTTTAAAGCAACTTTTGTTAATGCTACTGATCCTTAATGCAACTATGAATGTCCATTTGGCGGCGTCTGGGTTTCATACAGAGAGAGAGAGAGAGAAAAAAAAATAAAAGTCAAAAAAGGGAAACAAAAAAATATATACACATTTTATATATAAACTTAAAAACCTTGTACAAATGAGTTGTTATATATAAGATGCTTATGCTAAGGGGGAAAAAAACTTTATACAGTTTCAAGAAAAAGGAAAACATATTTAAAAAGGGACGACGTACAGGTACAAGCAATCTCTAAAGCAATAAATACTACTGGTCCAACAGCGTTGTGATTCCATTAATTGTTGAGTAGCATCCCCCTCCCCCCAAAAGAACAACACCATGGAACAAGGTATATTAACACATTTTAACCCTTTGTTTCTGTACATTTAAACAATAACAAGTAACATCACAATAAAAGTTGTTTCACACAGGAAAAAAAAAAAAACAAAAAAAAGGTAATGGCACTGCATTCACCGTGCCCCTGTGGTTTAAAAACCAGGTGTAAAATGATTGGTTCGCAAGCTCGTATTTAATACAAATAATACAGAACCAACTCCGTCTGGAGGGCTGCTTCAAAATTGCTTCTCTTTTTTTTTTTTTTCCTTTTTGTTTTTTAATCAGTCTTTTAAAACTAAGCTATCCGAACTACATAACAGTTATGTATATATATATATTTTTTAAACGCTACAAAGACTTTAAACAGCTGTTGATAAAAATTTTGGTAGAATCATGAGGTTCTTCTCTCATCTACATATTTAAAAGGAGAAATTGAAATAAGAATGGGTCAAATATTGACCAATGAACTCGATAAACATCAACTCATGTAGCCACGTGGCACAAAATTAAGAGTACAAAACAAAAGCTTTCCGGTGGGGGGGGGGAGGCAAACCAAGGACCGGGGGGACACTCACACCAGGCGGGACACCGAGAGCTATTCTAAAGACTTGGTGACGAGGGACAGCGGCTGGGGCTGCGTCCCGGCCAGCGCGCTGTGGGAATGTAAGGAAGACGTCGACGGCTGTGCGAGCGAGGAGGGGGCCAGGGGTGGCTGCAGGGCGGCAGGTGGCAGGTCCAGGGCCCCGTTGGGACAGAGGGCGGAGGCCTTGCCGTGGGCGGCCTCGGCCAGCAGGAGCGCGGGCGGCGGGGGCATCATGGCCAGGTGGGCCAGGGGGTCGGGCTTCAGGGACAGCGAGAGCGGCTGGGTCTGCTCAGTCTGTGCCTTGGCGTCGGGGGGAGGGGAGCCCAGCGGGTGCGGGGAGGGGGGCGGCGAGTCTAGTAAGCTTCCATCTGAAGAGGGTGGGCTGAGGCAGCTGCCTCCACCTTGTATGTAGCGAACGCACTTTTTTTTTCTCCTAGAAACAGGGGAGAGAGTCATCTGTGAATAACAGGCAAAGATGCCAAGGGACAGTTCATCTAATGCTAGCGGCCAGGGGACGTCGGCTAGCTGACACCCTGCAGCATGGCACTCCCGGTGCCAGGCTGCCCGGCTCCCTTGACCACATGGCCCTCTCTAGGTCTGCTCTGACACACAGGACACTCGGGAGGATGCCCTACCTGCTCGCCCACCCGAGGTCCCACCCCTGCCCAGCTAGAAGTGAGCAGACTGCAGGGGTCACCTGCGTAGGGTGGCACCGATTGGCAAAAATGGCTTCATCCAAACCGATATTAACAGAAACGCTTATTTCTCCCTGGGCTTAGACGTTCCTTCACTTTCCCACCACATTTTCCTTGCCCTCCCTCCCCAAATCCCACCACCACCACCCCCAGCCCCCAATGGTGTATGTGTGTGTGTCTAAAAAGAGAAAGACAGAGCTCCCTCCCCAGCCGCCTCTTATCAATGAGACTCTCAGAATGCTGACTGGTGAGCCCACATAGCTGAAGGCAGCACTAGCAAGAGGCTTAAAGGTTTAACACACCACCACCGTGAGGCTGCCGGCGCCCAGAGAGCTTTCGGGCTTGTCTGTTAAGAACCACACCAAATCAAGAGAGGTCAGAATCAGGTGAGAGGGGAGGGGGAACGAAAATAAAACAAAATCAACTGAAAGAAAAGAAAAGAAAACCAAAAACAAAACAAACGAAACCAAAAGAAAAAAAAAAAAAACTGGAAAGAAAACCACCAAAAACAGGTAGAAGAGGAAAAACAAAGGTGGGGGAGGGGCGAGAATAAGAAAAACAGAAAATGATCCAAAGGAACAAGAATAACTGGTTGTATGGCCTGCAGGTTGTGGATTAAATTAAGATTCAAACTTGATTTTTTAAAAAATTTTCATTGATCATTTTTTTTTTTTGAAGATTTGGGGCTTCCCCTCCCCCACCCCCTGGTGAAAAGGTTGGAAGGACAGACGGTGAGGATGGGATGGAGGGGCGTCATGGCCTTGACAAAATGCTGAGGCCAGGAAGTGGAGGGCGCAGCACAAGCCAGTCACAGAGGAGTGACCACCAAGAAGAAGTGCCAGGGAATCACAGCAGGGACCTTCCTGGGGCTGGGGTCCTCATGTCTGAACCACAAAGACACTCTACCCTGCACCAAAACCGGAATCTCCCCTCTCCACTGCCTGTTTATGGAAGGAATAGGAATGTGAATTTCAGAGCCTTTCTTGCTTATCATCAAAGGATGAAGTCAGGGAAAATCAACCGAGAGATTGGACTTCAAAGCCTCTCCCACCCTTACTCCCAGTCTGATGGGATCACACTTGGTAGGAAAGGTGATCCTGGGATCAACCCACTAATGCTATAAATATAATGCAGATACAGGATGTGCGCACGCTCATCCAAGGACCCTTCAATATGCAGTCAGAACCAGGGCCCCAACACTCCACCTGAAAAGAAGGGTGTGAGCACCTGGCCAAGATGCTGCCTGCCCACTTGAAGGCGACCCCTGCTAGACAGTGTCACTGGCCTTTGAATCAGGGGTGTACTGAGCTCCTCCTCTGCTCTGAGCCCCACGCTTGTCAGTGCATGGGGCGTGGACTCCACAAGATGGCAGGGAAGGGAAGGAGAGGAGGGTGGAAGGGAGCACGCTCGGTCCTGCCAGCCTCTTASAGGCTGGGACCCATTCGGGGCTGGTGGCTCGAGTCTGTCTGTCCCCACTGGGTCAGAAGGAACTCTGGGGGAGCGGGGGCAGCCCCCTGTCACCCTCAGTTTGGTGAAGTTCCTTTTTCTCCCTGGGATTGACTGGCACAGACTACAGGGTTCTGCTCCCATCCCAGGAACCAAGGTAAACAATCAAGCCTCTCCATTTTAAACCATCTTAGCCTGCAGATCCAAACATGCTCAGAAACTAAGATGTCCATGCATTTTTAAAATGGGGGGAGGGGAAGAGGGGGCGGGGAAAGGCATATGCAAAACCGAGAAAGCAATGGGGGAAATGAGAGCGGAGAGGACAGGTGAAGGAAAGGAGGGGGGACCATTAGACAAGGGCTGGCATCAAGCAGCATCCCAGGCTCTCAGGGTCGAGTGAAGAGCAACTTGGTGGGCTCAAAACAGAGGCTGGTTAGGGTGCTCCTGRGTGAACTCAGGAGCCCTGCTTGGCAGAGGACTCAGGGCCTTCCTCGCCCCTCCCGCCCTCCCGATGACATGAAGGTTCCAACCCCGGGGATGCATGGGGCACTCTGAACATGGGACACGAAGACGATGGTGACAGAGCGATGCTCCCAACAGGGCGGAGGGAAAGGCAGCTGGACACACGTGTCAGGAAATGCCTGGGTTTGCAACTGCTCTTCTCTGTCCCCCCACCACCCCTTTTTCTTAAAAGCACATTTTGTCCTATTGGTATTCCCATCAAGCCACATGTGGTCATGGCCAAGTTAAAAGGAAGAGTTGGGCAGGGGAAGAGGGACAGGTTACTACTTGTATAAAACCCCGACTCCTACCCACCCGTCTAGGCATCTCCATCCATTTCTAGCGTCTTCCATATTTATTCCAAAAGGAATAAACTACAGACTCTTTCTGATCCTGTTTTGGAATAATACCCTCAAAAAAGATAGGAATGAATTTTTTCAATATATTTAAGGTATGAACTCATGTCCCCCCCCCCAAAAAAAAAAAAAATAGCTGCTGGAAGTGTTCTAAGGGGGCTGAGGCAGGAAGAATATCCGGGGAGAGGGCCTGTCAAACTGCTCTTATGACCACGGCCCCTCAGCATCCACAGCCATATCGACAGCCCCAAACCTGCGTGTGGGAAACCACACTGTAAAACATGGGACAGCTACAAAGGCTTAAGCCACAAAGCACGGCAGTCTTTTTTTTTTTTGGTAAAAATATCAAGAAAATTCTGGTCTCTGAGGAAATATTCCACCCTGGCTTTCAGCAAGCGTGGGCTGGATGAGGTCAATGTTAGTAGTAGTTAGTAGTAACTTGTAGAAGGGGGTAAAAAGCCAAATCTAACATGCAGCAACTACTTCTGAAACAAAAACACCAACAAAAGGTGGGGGGCTGTAAACCCCACCCCCATGAACAGTAGAAGCCCACAGGCACACAAGCCACCCTCACGGTAAGGCYGTGAGCTGTGTCACTGCTCAGGAGGAACGCTCCCACCAGCCAGTGACTTGCCACCACACCGTGTCTCAGGGCGGTTCCCGCGGCCAAGGATCCCCCTGCTTGGCAGGTGTCCAGTGTTGACAGACTCACTGCCTCCATGGGGTCAGCAGGGGCCCCGTCTTCCCCGGCTCATCCTGATGATAGACCTACAATCTCTCATCCCAGAACTCCTTCCTGTGCGCAGGAGAAGACCCCAGAGATGTGCTGAAAGGACACTTGCCATCTCTGTGAGAGCTGCTAGCTCTGAGGACCAGGGCCTTCCTCTCCTGCTAGGACTCCATCTAAGGTCCCACGTCCCTACTCATGACACCTGCATCMCTCCTGCCTTGGGCCCTTTCTCCCTCTTCATCTGTTGGGTCAGCTTGAGGCACACTTCACCCATCTCYCAGTACTGGCATCAGAGAAGGGGGTCAGAGACACAGCAGACTCGTCGGCATGCACGTGATGGGATGAACATCTGTTCTAACGTCTAGACATGGAGCACATGGCAGAGGCATGGAGGAGAGGGACACGTGACAAGGAGGCACTACAAACAGGGACGCGTGTTGGGGTGTTGAGATACCTACCATCATAATATTCCAAATTCAAAGACTGCTTGTATCAGAACAAAGAAACAACAAATTTAACCAAAGGTGGTCATTAAAGGAAAGRAAAGGAGACAGGAACTAGTTGGTAGCCCTCCACCAAGAAGAAGTACCTACACCTTCCCTGAGATTACAGGTGGGGTAGGAACCTGCCGGTGGAACATGGGACATGATTTGGGCGCTTCTGGGCTGCTCTGATTCATTTAGGAACCACTGCTACATGGTGCACAGGTATGCATACATTTTAACGCTGCGGCTCTGTGCAGCGGGCAGCTGCAGGCCTCGCTGCCCACAGCCCCTCAGCTGTGCATGCCGTTCAATGCCACGCTTCTTTTTTAGCACTGTAAAACAATGTCAGCTACACAAGCTCCTCTGTACAGAAATATGTGGTTTTAAAACACAAAACAACAAAGGGGAGACGGGGATAAAAAGGAAGRGTGGGGGAAAAGCCTGTCCAATTCYCAAGGGCACGGGGATGCTCTCGCTGCCACGTTTAACTGGTCCAAACTTGGGAACTGCTGGCTCTCTACACTCAGGACACAGGCAACCGAGGCACTCATTAGGCCAAACCAGTCCAGGACACTGGCTTGCAAAGGACAAGTCTCGGAGCCCGTCAGGGTTTGTCAAGGCTGTGGTCTCAGTCCTGCCACCAGGGACACATTATTTGGAAGAGCAGGGGACAAAGAGAGGAGGAGAAAGTGGGAGACAGGAAACAGCATGAAATTAGCAAGAAAATTTTGAAGAATGAGGATCATTAGTCATTGATGCCAGTGGGGGAAGTAGATGGGAAGGAGGTCAAAATAAATTGTCACACTAAGGTACCAGAAGGATAGAGTTATTTGATTTTCCCAAAGGCCTCGCAGTGGTAATATACCTGCACGGTTTGCACCATAAAGTCTGTCGGTCAAGCCCGAACAGTGCCCGACACTTCTTTGGAGTATTTGCATCTGTTAGCATAAGGTAAACACAAAAAATACAACACAATGGTGGGTCGTGCTCAGTCGGATGTGAGATCTCAGCTACAGCTTATTGTCTTCTACAGCACCTTGGCTCTATTTGGTAATCGTCCCTCACCAAGGGCATGAAAGGAAAGGACTTCTATGAGTCAAATGGAAAAAAAAAATCAAATAAAACAATAAAACACACACACACACAAAACAACAACCAGAAACCAAAAAACAACAATAAAAAATAAATAAAAATAGAGAGAGAAGAGGAGGGGAGAAGGTGACGTCATTGGCAGAATTCTACCTAGGCCAGGATGAGGATCCTGGGCTGTCACAAGGGGGTTGGCAGGCAACGTTCCCTGGGAGAGGGCGCGCTGGGGTCTGCAGTCGCTGACCCGAGGAGGCACACGTGATGCTGTTTTACAGTGGCATTTTGGCTAGCAGCAGCGGGAGAACAAGCACATCCCTCATGGAGCCCATACACTTGGCAGTGTCCCACTCCCTCGTGTCTCCTACGATCCACACACAGAGCTATGAAGCAACAGGCCAGAGAAGGGGGAAGGATGGAAGAGACCAGCTGCAAACCAGCACAGCGAATCTGGGAGACTATACACACCTGCAAGGGCCGCACCAGTTATTCTGTTGATCAAGGCCAAAGCGCGCTCGGCATTTCTTAGGAGCGCTCAGGTCTGAATGAGTTCAAGAAAGGAGCGAGCAGAGGAGGAGGACATGGGAGAAAGGGAGAGAGAGAGAGAGAGAGAGAGAGAGAGAGAGAGAGAGAGAGAGAGAGAAGAGGGAGGGAGGGAAGGGAAGGGAGGGGGAGAGAGAGATACAAATAAGAAAAAAATAAAAATAAAAAAGGGAATAAATCAATGACCTGGTTACTAATGGCAAAATATTGACTTTCGTTTTTTAACTTTCTTTACTTTAAAAAAAAAAAAAAGGTAAAAATCACATTCTTATTCAACTGGTGAAATTAGCTGTTGCAAATAAAGCTGCAGTATCCCTTCTTTAAGGACTGTGTCTCAGATTCGGTTTGAGCTGCCAAAGGGAAGTTAGGCCTTGGAGAACTCACTCGTTCAATTATTTTTTTCCTTATTTTTTTTAGTTCTGTTTTTCCTTTTTTTTTTCTCTCAATTTTCTTTTCTTTTCTTTTTTTTTTTTTTAAGAAGAAAATAAAGCGAAGGAGGGAATTAAGTTGTAACATGCTTTTTTCTTCTCAGAGGACAACAGTTTAAAAAAGAAAAAAAAAACTACAAATAATAAAAAGAACAGAACAAAACAAAACAGAAAGAAATAAAGAAAGAAAAGGGTCATGGTCTTGGGATATTGCAGCTTTTGGAATGTTCGTCTTTTCTTTTTAATCTCTTTTCGTTAATATTGAGAGAGAAACAGAATGAGGTCAACAGGCTGTGTGGATGAGCCATTAAGGGTTAGTTAGAAGCTCACAGCAGCATTGAAGCAGGCAATGGTCAGTAAAATGCTAGTGGATTTGCAAATTATAAGCAGAAAAGCAAAAGGGAAGAAAAATAAAATAAAATAAATAAAAAAGCAAAGGAAAAAAATAATCATACTGCGGATGCATGCTTGTGGGAGAAAACTTAGTGGGAGCCATGAAAAAAATGCCATTAGATTAAGGAGGTTTATTACTGAATTCCTTCCATATTTTTTTTCTCTTTACCAGTCTCTTTTAAAGAAATACTGCATATTCAATTTGCACAGTTAGTTCAGCTCTAAATCACTGTCATTGCTGCTTAAACAACTGTTATGGAAAAAATAAACAAAACAGAAGTTAAATTAAATTCAAAAAAACAACAAAAGCAACTGGAAAAAAAAAAAATCTACCGAAACATACGAAACCGTGTAGATGGTCATTTTAAAGGATGTTCAAATGTCATACGTGTTTAATGTTAATAAAACTATAACGGCAAGAAAAATTAAAAAACAGTTTATCAACTATTTTAATGACTCAAAATGACATTAGCACCTGTAATCGGAGGAAGTGAAAGGCAAGGATTTAGGAAACATTCGCTGTGTTCTGAAAAAAAAGAACAAATTATACAAAGCCTTCAAGAATTTTGTTTGTTTGTTTGTAAAAGCCTGGTCTTCTCCCAGGGACCTCTGAGATTGCCTATGCAGTATTTCTAATTCCTTCTAGAGAATGACAAACCTCCTTAATTTAAAATGGGTGCAATTTACCACTGTAAAGGCATGCATCGGAACATTCAGGAACAGCCCAGTTAAGACCCCCGCACTCACACCCCTCCTACTCCCCTAGCCCCTCCTCATCCCTCCTCAGACACATACAAAATAAGCAGACTGCCTAAATCCCCGCAGAGGCATGCCTGCCGCTTGCTCTCCAGTTACAGGCTTTGCAGTTATTTAAAAACACATTCCACTAGAATTACAATGTGCTTTTTCATGCAACAATGGATGTTACTAGCTTTAAAAGGGCAGTCATGAAGCAATTAATTAAAATGCATAAACAAAAAGGCTGCCTAAGATGCCCCACCCCATGTCCTGGCCTTGAATTTCTCCTGCCTCCCCCCAGATGGAAGCCTGGCATAAGAGTGGCCCTCCAGCTACCGCTTCCTCCTCCATCCTGAGTATCCTGACTTACCATTGGTCTCTCCTGGCTGCTTGTCCCTTTTCCTCTTCTTCTTCTTCCCCTAGATGAACAGATGAAACACAGTGGCTTAGTTCAAGAAAGGCAGGAGGAAGGCGTCTAGGCTCCCCTGGAAGAAGGCAGAGGGGGCACCCTCTTGCCACCTCCACCCTCACCTGTCCCCTGGAGTCTGTCCAACCTCCCACCCCTTTCACCCCAATGCCCTTGAGCTCTGATTCCAGCCAGAGGCATACGCGCTTCCTGGAGTGGAGGAGGGATGAGTGGGTGGTGGAGCATGGCAGAGATACCTCTGCTCATCTCAGACCTGAGCCAGGGCATCTGATTCTACCAAAGGGATCATTCAGAAAGGAGCAGATTGCTAGAAACTCTCCGTGACAGGCTGGGCAGAGGGCTGCCCTCCCCCATTCTGAATCCAGAAGGACAGCTATAGTGGGCACTTCCTGGGCACAGGTTGAAGAGACTGGGTGGTAGGTGGGACAGGGCCTGGAGTTATCTGCTGGGTAGACATCCACAGAGAAGGCAAGTTCCCCCATTAGCCTGTCTTATACAGAGGCTCCCTGGCATCTGGCTTCTGATGGGGTGGCACTCCAAGAAACCCATCATAAGTTAAAAATGTGGCTAAGTCTAAGTGCATCTGATCACCTCCCTCCTGAGCCCTGGAGCTCAGGTCCAGCCTACCTCGGATGTGCTCAACACCTGCAACAGCCTACAGCTGTCTCCAATCATCTGACTCAAGCCCACCATCATAATAAAGCACTGAATATCACGTCTTTACTGAAAGTAGAAAACTGAATGGTTGTACGGGTGTGTCTTCACATGACAAGAAGCTGAAAAATCCTAAGTCAAACCAGCCAGGTGAAGAGGATGGTGAACACTGCCTGGTGACAGTGGCCAGCACCCAGTGGGCACAGTGACTCCTTTAACCCTCATGACAACCTACACACCAGGCATCACTGCCATTCCAATTTTACAGACTTTTCTCAAGTGGCACAGCAAGACGGAGGGCCAGCCTGGAAACTCAGGAGTCTCGTCACCCCGACCCTCGACTCAGGGCTCTGCTGCCCACGACATAACAATACTGGCCCTGCATGGAAGCCCTTGCTAGAAGACCAACAATGACGGACTGTATGGAACCATCCGTATCTCCAGCCTGGGCCTCCCTGGAATCCTGGCAGCCTGCTAGGGTGGCTGTGGAACTGGAGAGAATTCTGTGGGCCAGTGTCTGAAGCTCATTCCCCCCTCCCTGGACTGCCCTAACCCTGTCTATGAGTCGGCTGCTGGACGGGAACTGCACTCCAATGGCCTTACATCCTGGGTGCTCCGTAATACCTAAACGCTACCTTTGCGTAAAGTTTCGAATGGTGACGCAGTCGGAGAGAAAAGAACAATAATGGACAGGAACTGAGACTGGACCAGGCACTGCAGGAACCTCCAGAGAGAGAGGCCGTGGGGCTCTGCTCCATCCGAGAGCTGAGAACACTGTTTTGAGAAGGTAGCTCTCTTCGCCTGGGGCACAGGAGAAGGTTTCACCTTCAAGGGGTGTCAGCATCTGCACCCCCAGGCCTTTGCTTTAGTACCCACTTCCCATTCCAATGCCCCACAACAGATTCTAAAGGCACTGTGTCCACCTCGGACCCCGGGGAGCTATCTGTGCAGGGTGCATGATTGAGATCTATGAGGAAACTGGGATTCCGATGACAGGGACATAATTAATAGGAAAGGGACATGAGGAAGCTAATACACACTGTTTAGTCTTGAAGGACCTTGCTCAATGAAGAAAGGAAAAAAAAGGCCCAACATAAGGCATAAGAAAGAGGAAACTGGTGAGCAAACGGCAAAGGATTATCTCCTTCACCTAACGTCAAAAAGGCGGGAAGAAATTCATGTTCTGATATGAAGCTGGGGTGAGGCATTATATGGCACTAAGTTATTTCTTCTTCTATTCTAGAGAATGGACCAAGCCTGGGCATCCAAACCTGACTGCGTTTCACTCAATTATTTTTTCCTAAGGTAGCAATAAAAAGGTTCCGTCGATCCTTGGATGACATCAGGGCTGTGGAAGGGGCAAGCTCAGAAGGCATTTTTCAGAACTGTTAGGACTTTTCAGGGACAAAAGTAATTTGCAAAAACTCCTAGTGCAAGGGAGCTAAAGAAGAAAAGTTCCCAGCAGCCCCAAATCCTCATGACCTTCGATTCCGCACTTTTTGCCCCTTGACTATTCCCCAGGTGTGGAAGAAGACAGAGACAGAGTGTATCCACACTCCTCACATCAGGAACCTGACAGCACCTCAAGGAAGACACAGGGCCCTAAATCCCGGCCTTCTCCCAAACCTCTTCAAGTTCCCTGGGAGCTCCCAATCACACTAAGCCACATTCCGAATGTGGAACTGAGCAGAAGTCACATCAAGTGACTTTGGGACCTTCTAAAACCTAGGAAGCACATCACAGAAAGTCTTGGGGAACACTCTAAGTGACTCCCAGAAAGTCCAACACACCATTCTTATGAAGCTATCACAAAACTGAACTTATCCTTTCGTGGAGAGTTCACCCTGCACAACTCCAGGGGGCACCACTGCCACAGACCCTGATATAAACAGCACAACCTTGAACTGCAGAGTCTGGCCTGCACAGCTGTACAAGAAGCCCTACCGTGACCCCGAAGTCCAGCAGGGCCATGGTATCTGTAGAAAAGCCGAATTCCACTGGATGGTACCATTCTAGATTACTCCAAGAATTGRGTGTGCAGCAAGTAGAAGCTGTGGATAACTCTAACGACTTCCGACCTGCAACCAGGAGAGTAGCTGTCCTGAAACCGCATGGCTTGTGTGCAGGCTGTGGACGCTGCCTGCTGCTGCCTGCTCCACCTGGGGGTCAGGCAGGGTGACAGCAAGCCTGCGGGAAGCATTCACTTTCTCATCCTCTTCCTTTCACCTCCAGAAGAAAGGCTTCCCCTGGGCATACATGCTGAGGGCGCACGCAGAGGTCCCAGGCCGTCACCCTATGCCCACCCAAAGGCGACAAGGGCTCTCAGCGGAGCAGCCATGCCATCCAAGCAGTACTACTCCTTCCTGCTTCAGCCCCAATCAGGAATGCAGGCTGGTGCTGTGCTGCCAGCTACAGCCAGTGGGAGACAGAGGGAGACGGGCAGGGGTGTGGCAGTTAATCCCAGTGGTCTCCCTTCTCCAAGGTCTACCCAGCAAGGAGCAGATGAGCAAGAACGTGCTTAGAGGTGTAAGAATATCGAGGGTGGAAACTTGAAATAGGTGGCCAGGACAAGCAGAAAGCCGCCTGCACTCAGGGCCGTGCGGTCACGCACATGTTCATGGTTTCCTTGGTGGACGGCAATCAAGTTCTCAGAGCAAATGTGTTGGGCCAGATTCCGAATCCCCACAACATGGCATGTGTGGTGAGGCTCTATCACCAATGAGTTAATGACCTCAGAGAGCTTCCTGACCCTGGGTGACGCCAAGTGGAGAGCAGGGACTGGTCCACAACCCCCACAAAACGGGAGGGAAGGTGCTGCCGTCGAGATGGTTTGGTCCCCCTCAGAGTGGAGAGCAAATCATTATGGAAGGAAAAAAGCATCACACAAAGTGACAGCATATAGGGAGAGAGCCCAGACCATGGGCCACTAGGGGATGACGGTGACAGCGACAATCTCCAGAGGACAGTAAGCCTTCGGGAGAGGAATGGGGGTCTTGATGCAATCAGTAAAATGATCCTCCAACTAGGGTGTTCCCCAAAAGCTCAGAGAGGAAATGAGGCAAATCCTGCAGCCACCAGAGTCTAGGAACACACCATTTCCTCCATCCTGGCCAGGGTGACTTCCATTGGCTACTTTCAGGGATGTTCCCATCATGCCCTTCTCTGGGTGAGGCAGGCTTCCTGCTTCTAGTACACCACGGTGTAAGGCCACTGTTTCTTTTTCCTTCAGGCTGCAGGCCCTGCTGCAAGACCTGTGAGGAGTGAAACTCTCTCCCCCACCCGCTAGGGTCTGCCCTAGAAAGCCGCACCACGGAGGGCTGCCGAGGAACCCCCTCTGGGGCACCCTCTGAATGAGCCCAGTGGTCTCCTTTCTCCAAGGTCTACACACTCATCCAAGAGGCTCGCCTCTCTAACAAGTGGTCCAGGAGGTGTGCAGAACCCCCAGTGGATCCCAGGGGTCCTGAGCTAGGTCACCAGACACCAGCTTCCTCCTTTTTTCTGGAGAAAGACAGCATGTTGCCACAGCTAGACTAGAAGCCAAGACACACACCTCCAGTGACCAGGCCAGATGGTAACGGTCCCAGAAGCGGGCAGGATAAACAGTCCTAAAGCCAGATTCAAGCTGACAGTGACGATTCCCTGCCCACTGGACACAGAACACGTCTCTAGGGAAAGTGTCCTATGGCAAAAGATCCACCTACATAGTTATCCCGCGCGGACCAGCCAGGGTACAGCTGCATGTGAAGCTGTCGCTCCTTCCGGGCCAGCTCGTAGTACTTCGCCTGCTCTTCTCTGGACAGTGCATGCCACTGGAGGGGACACAGGGTGGGACAGAGAAAGACATGCAAAAACATCATCAACCACACCACGGCCCATAAAGGACTGACACTTCCTGGGGAGGCGAGTGTGTCCAGAGATGGCCTCAGGTACAGTCACAGAGAGTCGGCCAGACACAGCCGGCGCTCACAGGAGTGTTCAGACAGAGCACTATCTGCATCCATCTATCTGGTCTCCCTCTCTGGGGTGGGGACGACTGAATGTGGTGATGACTCTCTGAATGTCATTCTATGCAGAATGCCTGGGCCTGCCTCAGTGGAGCCCACTGAAGACTTCAAAATGGAGCTGGGGGACAGGGTTCCCACTCACTGGGGCCTCGACGTGTCCACTCCTCCCCCTCGTCCCCACGACGGGGCCGCCTACCCTGCGCCCGAGGATCTGGTTGATGGCCGCGCTCTCCTTCAACGTGCACTCGGCCACGACCTTTGCTCTCATTTCCTTCATATACAACATGAATGCGTTGAGGGGCTTCTTTATGTGGGGCTTCTTCTTCTCTTCCTCTTTTTTGGAGTCCTGGTGCTTTCTGGATACAGACAAAGTGGACACGGAGCCCAGTGAACAACCACGTGGCCCAACTTCCTCCAGAGCGCGCTGCCCCGACTCCCCACACCCCAGCCTCGCTGTCTCCAATAAAAGGCACACTTCCACTTTCAGTCTCTTCCACCCCGGAAAATGCAGCAAAAAATAGCCAGGGGAGGGGCTGGGGCAAGATTCTGTAATCACTGCGAGTTTCACAAATAGACCACTTTCCCGAGGCGTGGGAAGCAGCCCCACGGCCCCGCCTCCCAGGCTTCTCGGGTGCTTGCAGAACAAAGCTCCAAATGTCCCACTTCGGGGTGAGAGGGCAGGGAAGTGGCTACAGATCCCAAGCCATCCAAACACACACAAAAAAGAGCTCTGTCTGACCCCCAGGGGGACGAGGTGTGAAGCCCACACGGGCCAGGTGGCTTGGGGGCTGTAGTCCAAGCACACGAAGCATCCGCCACCAACCACTAGACACTGTGGCCACAGAAGTGCCACAGCAAGGGACACTTACGAGCTGTGGAGGGAGCCGACGTCACTCTGGGAGGATTCCTGTTTGACCGTTGGCGTGACTATGGCCGGATGGGGAATGCCGGTGGTGTGCAGAGTGTGGTGTGGTGGGACCATATGGGGAGGGAACCTAGAAGACAGGAAGCTGTGTAAATCGTCAGAATCAAAATGAATGAATGAGGAGGGATGTGTACACACAAATTTTTTTTAAAAAGAGAAAAAAAAAAAAAAAAAAAAAACCAGCACGTAACATGCACATGAAAGCCACCCACGGCATATGAAACCTGTCAGCGTTAATTAGTGATAAATTAAACATAATGATTCTCATAATGTCATTAAAGCCAATCTTCCCCTTCATTATTGCTACTGACATGAGACATTATGATTTTTAACATCTTTAGCAAAAGACAAATTCAACTGATGTACTTAGGCGGAAAGGCGGGCTTGGGCTACCTGCTGGAAACGGCATGTCCACTTGTTTTTGAGACATGATTAGTGGCATCTAAGAAGACAGTTTCCTAAGTCCTAATCTGCTGTAGAATGAAAGGTGAACTCTTTTGTTGTATATTGACAGCTAAATAAAATATTAACGTGGTTGAAATATACATACATTTCTGACAATGCTATGCAGGCCTCATTAGGCCTCATTCTGTTGATGGAGTGCAATGAAATTTTTATTTTTCTTTTGTTGCTATGCCCCTCATTTGACAGGAATGGGAGAGAGTGAGGAAGAAAGATAGGGAAACATTCAAATGTTTTCTGTTTGGCTCCCGTTAAGTTATGGACGCAAGATGTTTGTATCATTTCACAGAAAGGTGAGACACACAGACACACACACAGACACACACACACACGTAGTTTTGAGTACTGACTGCCCTTTCTCCTCTCAAAAGTACAATTCCTAAGTCATCTTTACTTACTGTGTGTGGTCTGTACACAATTAAAAAGGCTCTTCTGCAACAATCAAAATCATAAAGACCAAAGTCTGTGTTTTCTTCTCTAATACTATTCATTTCTGAGAAAGACTCTGAAACACATTTTAGTCCCTGAATTACCATTTCCCAACCAAGCAAATGAGCCAGGACATGAAGAGTGGATTTCAAGGCACTTGGGGCCCATCTGTAGAGTGACAACTGGACAGGACAAATGGTTCGTGAGCATTCCTGACATGCTTGAGTGCAAGAAGCCCTCCTCGCCCTGCCTTCAGAGCAGCACACATTGTAGACAAAAGCAGGGTGCAGGGCGGACAGGGCAGACCCCCAGAAGGTCACAAAATGGCAGCTCCTGCTCCACCCGCTGAGGCCATGCCAGTCAGGGACAGGGAGGCTGTCCAGATGAGGGGGAGCCCAGACCTTGGCAATGGTTGCTTTCCAAGGAAAGCACTACCCAAGGAGTAACAACCTCCTCCTTCAGAAAGCCAACTCTTGTGTGAACTAGAGGTCCTTCACCATGACACTTACTTAGAAAGAACCTTTATTTACAAAGTTCTTCCCATAGGTGGATCGGAGCTAGTTTCCATTTAGTCAAAATGGAATGTTAATCTGACAGATGTTAAATGATAAGAAAAACTAAAAATCAAACAGCATCTACCCAGATCAACAGACACATAGACACCAATGACAGTGGTGATTTTTGCTGGGGCCCCAGAGCCACCGTGGACACTTGACTCAGAAAATCCACCCTGAGATGGTCCACTTCTGGAGCTGCCTTTACAAATTCAAACTAATGCTGAAGTTTGGTAACAATGATGTGATTGTTTTATGTATTTTTTTATTTTTAATCGTTTTATTAGTGCCTCAGAGCCATACATAAGAGTGGTGTTCATTTTGACATAATCGTGCATGCATGGGATGAAATTTGCTCTACTTGACTATTTCAATAGGATTAACTAAGAACTTTTAGGGCATGGGGGTGGACAAAAGGGGTACGTGGGGTGAAGAGACAATCCACCTCTAACACCTTCCCCTCAAAAATTTATAAAAGGGAAAGCAAGCTCTTGGGAGGTATTTGGGCTTCCAAGTTACTCCCTGCTCCTTCCCACTGTTGGAAGTGCTCCTGTGTTCCTGGAGGCCCTTTGGGTGAAGGGGTGGGTGGAGTGGCAGCTTTTACTGTGAGTTCTAAAGGCTTGACATGCCTCAAAACCAAACGTTCCCTTCCTATAGAATACATGCACGCACACATGAGAGAGTGAATACTAGTGTGTGTATATGTGCACACACATGCACATACAGACATGCAATACCAGAGGAAGACAGACACCATGATGAGGCCACTTTGGAGTGGGGGCAAATTTTGGGTGCAGACATAAAGAACACACTTCTAAGTTCCTCTTCCTAAACACATATTCAGAGATCTAGAAAGTGTACCATCGAGAAGGAACAACTGCGTGTGGACGTGGATGTGGCCTGTGTGCATTCCTTCGCTCAAGAAATCCCCTTCTGCAGACAACTATTTCATGAAACGCAATAAACACCCTAAAAATTCTAAGCAGCTCATTATATACCCCCGTCTGCTTTTATGGCTCCAAGCCAGAATATAATGATGAACCTTAACTTGTTAAGGACAACTAATTTTTGTTTCTGGCTGTCTCAGGGGCTTCTCTCTTACTCACTCTCACTTTACTTCACTGTTGACACGCTTCTGTTAACTGGATGTCATCTGCCGGCCTTGATTTTATGCACAAGCAGTGGGATGCATCTTCCCGTGCAACACTCCTGCTTTGAGTTGCATTAGGTTTGTCATTATTCTCTCATTTTCCCCCTTGCACTTGTAACATTTCATCTCTTCCTGCCTTATTTTTTGTGAGCCACGGTGCACCCACATTATGGTTTATACATGATCTCGCTCCCTTTGAAGCCGGCAGATTTCAGAGCCCGCTCTCGTCAGGAGGAGAGCCTTGCACCAATTTAGCAGGCTGAGGGCCCGGAGCTCCAACATCTCAATCTAAAGGGGGTCACAGGGTGGCACAAGTGAGTGTCAGCAAGAGCTGTTTAATTGCCAATCTAGGCTTCTCCATGGTGTTTAAAGTATAATGACCCATCACTTAATTCTGAGAAGTCCTGGCCCCGCTGCTGAATAGAATGAATATCAAAGGGTGTTCTGGAACAGGGCAAGCTGCCTACATTTGCTATAACTGCCATAAGTATAATAGACCCATACTTCTGTCACCCCATTATCACAATAATGTATTTAATTTGCTGTATACGCTTTTTAACTAGCTACCTTTCATACGGCCTACCTGGGGAATCGGCCGCTTTCCCGCGCACCTCCAGCCCCTAACCTCTCTCCTCCCACAGCTCCCTTCTTCTCCTCCACACCCTGCCCACCTATAAATCATCGACTAACCTCCTAATGATAATTCAATCAATAAGCTTAACCCTGATCCCTGTCTTACGACATCACTGCTTTCAACCTCTGGACGCACAGAATAAATAAACACGGAAAACAATCGGGTGCAACGGGAATGCAGGGCAGTGGGGAGGGGAGCTGAGGCTCCCAAGCTGCGCCCCTCCTGGGAGGCTCGGGCGCTGCTCCTGCGCTCTGTGAGGCCACGGACCACAGTCCCTCTTACTGGTCCAGAGAGCGCAAAAAAGCGTCTTCCCGCCTAATGCCTATTGGCATGGATTTCGAAACTGCGATGATGTCATCACACGTGGGAAATGATCTTGTTATCATACCCACAGCACAATTACACCCACTACACAGGCTACGGTGGGTTTTTCTCAATGGGTCTGATTCGCATTCTCTCTCCCACCAAAATCCTCTCTTCTGTACATAGGAAACGAGGCATCATGGCCAGGCTTTCTGTCTCTGGTCCTGGTGCCCCATGTTAGCCACTGAGAAGAAGGGAAGGGGCTGGGGACAGCATCCTTGCCATGTAATGCATGCTAATTTAATTATATGCCATCATCAAAATGGATTGGTTGTTTCAGCCCATCAGGAAAGTCTAAACCTCCACCGATTTAATTAACTTGACTGAAAATCAGATGAACAGAAAATAAAACTATCATTAGGAGCAATTAGTGACTACTTAAACATACTGCTGCCAACCGGTTTGTAAATAAACTAACAGTCACTGAAAAATTAGCCAGAATTAATTAGAGGAAGGAAAATGAGAACATGGAGATATGTATGTATGTTGTATATATATATATATATTTATATGCTTAAATAGAAAGGGGCCTGAATGTATACATGCCCTGGGTCTTTTAAAAAATCTTTCAAGGATTTAGAGCTGCATGGGCCAATACGGTAGCCACCAGCACATGTGGCTACTGAGTACCAGAAATGTGGCCAGGTACATAGACCAGACCATAAAAACTAAATATGGGGAAAAGAGGTAAAATTCCATAAACAGTTGCTGTATGGTGATCACGTTAAACAATATTTCAGCCACACTGTATTGGGATGAATAAAATATATCATTGAGCATTATTTTACTTAAAAAAATTTTTTTTTTAAATATGACTACCAGAAAACACCCAAGTCACTCGGTGTCTCACACAGCATCTATTGGGCAGTGCTGCTTTGAGCTGGGTTGGGGCAGGGGCTGTTTGCTGGGCTTTCTTGCTGACTCAATCAGAATTTGAGCTTTGAAACAACCGATAATAACCGTTCCGCAAAACTCTTCTTTGCACCATAATGAAACGACCTCCACTCCCTCCCTTCTCGCTAGTTCAGGACAACAGAGAAAGAAAACTTTAAAAGCTCCACGTGCCCCAACTGTTTTATCCTGCCTTCTAAATTTCTGAACATCCACAGCTCCCATTGGCTGAGTCACAAAGATTCGAGCCAGAAAGGCCTCACTTCCCCCGGAAGTTCAGGCGATGGCTCAGTGTCTTCTAGGATCGCAGCCTAGTTACACACCTGCTCTGCACATGCACCCACACGGTGGCCGGCCAGGGCACCGGTCTGCAGTCGGCCCTGCAGGGCCCTGGCTCTTGGAACTCACCTGGACATGGAAGCATTGACGGTCAGCGCGGTGGGATAAGGGTGTCTGAATCCTCCTGTCGTGATAGGGTACACTGGTTGACCTTGCCTACAAAGAAGGGGTACAGCATGAGAGATTGAAAGCCAGGCTGGGGGTGGGGACAGAAAGAAGAACTGGGGAAAGTTCTCTCTGCACAGTCAGCTTTATTCTCATTTGATCAGAACAAAAATCTTGGGGATTGTACAGCAAGGATCAAAGGGAAGAAACACAGAACAATTTGAATGCCATAAATCTGATAGGAATGGCTAATTAAATTTTATAACCTCTGCTTATGTCAATAGAGACCCTCTCCCCAAGCTGAGACTAGGTGTTTTGTTGTAATAATTAAAGGCGAAGTCTAGCTTCCTTTAATGGAGCCATCACACTAATTGAGGGCTACACATCCAAAGGAAAACAATAATGAATGTAAATTTATACCAAAATAAAGTACAGTGAATCAAAGGACTTCAGTTGCGCTTTGGGCCTCTTTCGGTATTTAGATCTCGGTGAGAAAACATTAAATTAACAGAGCTTAATTTGTAGCCTTTTGTCAAATTAACAAGTGTTGACAAGAGTTACCGGGGGGAGAGTCCCCAAGAAGAATTGTGGGTAACCAATAGACAATCACACCTCATTACAATAATTAAAAAATACAGCAACATGCAAAATAGCATCCTCATGAAAGACACACAACTTTTCCTGACAGAGGGTTGTCTGAGTTGGCTATTCCTTTTTATCTAGCTTTCAATATCTTCCCATCAGCCAAACCAGGCCCAGGATGACTGAGAACTATCAAGGATTGGATCACATCTATTTAAGAAGAAATGGGTCATAATCTCAAAATCACTTCTATTCCAAACAAAAAGAACACAAAACAGAAACTGTGCAAGGGCTGATATTTGGTATAGCTAATACATAATCCAACCTATTTTTAGTGCAGAATCTGTTCAACTAGAGAAATAAGGGGGAACTGGGAGGTGAGTCAGCCCCAAACTTTCTTTAAGGCTATGAATGGCTAGCTCCCTAAGGTCCAAATCTGAGAGTTCCACCAGGATTTCTTTTATTTTTATTAGTTATTGATAGACCTTTATTTATTTGTTTATATGTGGCACTGAGAATCAAAGCCAGTGCCTCACACATGCTAGGCAAGTGCTCTACCACTGAGCCACAACCCCAGCCCCCAGGATTTCTTTTGGCATTCAACAATTGTCCTATGTTTTCTGAAGAGTAGGAGTTACTGATAAACATGGAGAAACACAACGGACATACAATCACAACAAGACATGACACACCTGCTCATGCACACTGTCCACCACACACACAGCAGGCGTATGCAGAAAGGCCTTTCTGCTCAGATTCAAAAATATTATGATGTTAGGCTGCAAAGGGCAGGTGAATCACCTCTGCAGTGACAGGGATGAGGGCGGACACTCAGGAGGGCCTGGTGTGACACACTCAGTGCTCCAGTGGCCTGTCCCCATCCTTCACAGTTGGGGGAAATCTCCCAACAGGCCAAGAATCACAGGAGCTTCAACACACAACACTTTGCACTGTCAGATTTTGGAAGTGACGGGAGCAAAGGGGCTGGGGACACTGGGGCTATAAAAGGAGAGCCCCACCCCACCCCTGGATTTCACAACCAGGTTGTTTCTGTTCCCACGCCCTCGCCCCACATCAGACCCCACCCACTGCAGAGAGGACTCAGCCACCCCTCGCCACCCTTCAGAGCTGGGTGAAGCCATACCTAAAAGAGTACTCAGCATGTCACCCCAGTGACATGACCCCACAGTTTGAGAGGCCACCAGCAGAAGACGACCATCGACTTCAACAGTTGGAAGCCCTAGCAGCCTTCTGCAATTCCAAGTATCTTGAGGGCACCTCGTCCACAGGGCCTTTGGGGACTGTGGGTTCAGAAGGGCAAGTCTCCACACCCCTTTTCTACAAACCTATCTGAAGGGTTCTCATTCTCCTGTGTTCTCATGGAACATCTTCCCCATGGCCTCCCACCAACCCTGTCCTTCTGAAACACACACACACACACACACACACAGACTAAATAATAAACATGCCCATGTAAGAAACAAAAAGGAAATTAAAAAAATGGAACTCCTTACTGTGGTACTAACCATCCTAGCGGATGGGGGATTTGTCCTACGGTGCCGGGCGATAGCGGGTAATACGGAGATATGTCTGGAGGGTGCGGAGGCCGTGGGATTCCTGAGAGAAGATGAAGTGTTTTAGGTACAGGAGAGGGAGGGGAGGGAGGAGCAAGAGCTAGAGATGGGGACAGGAAAAGGAGGCAGAGTGGCATCTCTTCAGAACCCTAGCATGAGGTCATTCATGATTCTGATGGCAAAACGTCACTAGGATTTGTCTCATTTTCTAATAGTCTAAGTTTAAACAATTATCTCATTCTAGAGGGACTGGTAGAGTGGCTCAAATCAGATTTAGCAAATGTCACCTTGATCATTTCAGCCTTATGTGACTCATGCAATTAAAAAAAAAAAAAACATCTAAAGAGCCTTGCACATAGCAGGTGAACAAAGTTACACTAACTGTGCCCTCAGAATGGGTCCCTTTGCCCTTTTAATTCTGACGATTTACCTGCGGACAGTTCCTCCTCTGATTTACAGCATCTTCTGAGCTATGGTGAGGAAAGGTGACACTGACTTCTTTTAAAAGAGGTCACCCCTCTAGAATGGCAGCACCTCTATGGAGACAATCAGCTGCAGGAACTACCAGATGCCACTGGTGTCCTGTCCCCAGGAGAGTCAGAACTGAACAGACAGAGCTGCTGGAGGCCTGGCATGCTCAGCTCTGGGCCTTGCTCCTGAGGGGCTGTAGGCCCTCATCCTATCTGCTGATAGGTACCGTGCATCAAGGCCAAGGGCCCTCCCGAGGCACACAGGAGTGAGTGCTGAAGGTGGGCACCGCGGCACTCTGCCRGGCTGCACAGGAGCACACCCTGCAACCAAGTCCCAGGCAGGGGAGTGCTGGGAGCAACAATGTCAGAGAGCTCCTCTGCACAGTTGAGGTGGGGAACCAAGTGCGCAGCATCGCAGAGTCACAACGGAACATGGAAGGGAACGAGCTGCGGGTTCGTGGATAAAAAGTATTTCATTTTTAAAAAAATTCATTCAGGAAGCTTTTAATCTGTAAATGAAGTCTCCCTGGGTGACATTTTCATGCAGACATTGCTTTCTCTCAAACAGATTAGCTGGGCTTGGACCCTACACCGAGCCATTTGCACACTTGAAAGAATGTTCGCAGAAGAAAAGTAAACAGGCCACAGACGTTAATCATATGTTTTACGATAACCATTTAAAAGCTATTCCCTGTACTACCATTATTTAAATCAGACGCTGACGCTGCCATTCACTCGCAGAGCCTGGGGCTGGCTGGCAGCCCCCTCCAGCCATGCAAGTACCAGGCTGGTCCTGCACCAGCACAAAGAGGGCTCAGAAGGGAGTGAAAACCCGCTCATGTGTGGCTTCTTTCAGGGCCAGTAAAGGTCGCCTTGCGGGGCAGCCTTCYTTACCCAACACCAACTGCTCCCTCTGACAAGTGAGGTGGAACCACCATTTTAAACCCCTCTTATGATTGGCTCGCTGGGAAAGGAACCCCAGCCTGCCAGCGGCACCCTGGCCTTAGCTGATCTCCCATGGCCACCCCCCTGGGAGCTGTGGCTGCCTGCCCCCGTTGGATCTTGTCCTTGGGAGGGCTCCAAGTAACCCTGCCTCCTTGCCCTCTCCCCTTGGGAGGGGAAAAAAAAAAAAAACAGTCAGCAAGCCAAGTGCGGTGGCGCACGCCCGTCACCCCAGTGACCCGGAGGCTGAGGATGAAAGTTCAAAATCAGCCTCAGCAACTTGGCAAGAGCCTGTGTAAACTTAAAAAATTTTTAAAAGGGCTGGGGATGTGGCTGGGGGAGGTTAGGAGCCCCCCTGGGTTCAATCCCAGGTACCAAAAAGAAAAAAAAAAGTAGTCAGCAACAAGAAGAATGAGGAAAGGGGCTGCTGCCCGGGACCTACTGCTTGTTCCATGGGAGAATAGGAAACAGATCCTGGATGTGGGTTTTCACATCTGTGAAATGGGCTTGCTAAACACCCACAATACTGCAGGGGAGAAGAGCCCAGCTGAACCAGCAAAGAGAAGGCAGAACTCCGGGGTCTTCTGAGGCTGTCCATCATGGAGTCTACTGGCCACCAAGAGAACTGGGGCCTACGAGCCCCGCTTCTTCCCTCCCAGAACTGTGAAGGAGGCCAATGCAACTCCCACCCCCACATCTGTTTGGGGCTCTAGTGTTGGTGGAGTTATGACCACTCCTGCATAGAGTCATGTCTATACCTCTGCAAGTGGCCTTGTCCAGAGGGGAGAGCAAACTCATCCCCTCACCAGGCTTTGGCCTTGCTAAGAGCGTCCTGCTCAGTTCACAAGAGGGTACCGGGGCCCCTCCACCACCACTCCCACCAGCCCCCTCCCAGCCTCCCAGGTCTGCCACCCCCCGCCACCCCCCGCCTGGTGCTCTGCCCTGGCACGCAGCCGGTGGCCTACCTGTTTTGGGGTCTACATCAGCTGGTAAGTGTGGCGGCGGGTTTCCCGGGGTGAAGTGTTCGTTGCTATAGGTGATAAGAGGCGTGAGCGGGTGGACATGGTGAGGGTGCTGCACCACCGGCACTTTGTTCGACTGCAGGGAGGGAGAGAGCAGAGTGACACGTCGAGCCAAGACTTCAGAGCAGGGCCCTGCAACGCCCCCAGACCTCAATTTTGTGAGATGCATTCAACTCTGCCTGTCCCCCACTTCCCAGTTCCCCACTGAGCCTGGCATTTAAAATGTCTTTTCCATCCCCACCCAGCACAGAGCCCGAGACTGCACTTTTCCCATCGGCAGGTGGGCCGAAAGTGGGGGCTGTCATCTCCCAGCCCTACTGTGCTCCTACCCACAGGGGAGGAGTCTCCCACTCAGGCCCCCACCACAGGACTCTGCGAGGCAGGCAGGGCTTTGCAGGGACCAGCACGGAAAGCCTTCATCTACACTGCCAGGACCCAAATGCACCCAGTGAGCCTCCCTACCTGCCTCCCCCCGCCCTTCCGAAGGTGGGCACTCTACAAGCCTTTACAGACCTCAGGGATGAAAATCCCCACCTGGGCTCTGGGTGGGAGTGTGAACTTCACCAGAAAGCTCTAACTGCCCGGCAAGCACCTGCATATTTTATGCAGATTACGCAGCACTGATTCATTAGGAGTTTCATTAGGAAGTCATCAGGGACCACTAATAAATTAACTGGATGATGATGAATTGGGCTAATAAAAGGTAGGTATTTTAGAAATGGGCAGCCAGCTCTTGCAAACAAAGTACAAGTATTTTTGTGTGTGGGCAGAAGAGAGAAATGGGGAAAAAAAGAAAGAAAGAAAAGCATTTAAAGTATGTTTCTAGGTGCATCCTGAAGCGCTCTCTCGGATGGCTCTCCTCTTCCCCACCCCACGCTAGTCCACTCCCCTCCTCTATGCTACGCTATAACTCAGCCCAGCAAGATCACAAAGAAAAAATTAAGCTGAAACAAGCGAACTACTGGGCCATTTACTGAGAGTAATCCAATTGCAAAAAACCCTATTCCCAATAGAGGATTTTCACTAAAATCCTACAACAGGGACATTTAACCAGATTAGGTACCAGCGAAGATAAAGAGGCTAGTATTAGATGATGAATGGATTAGAGTCAAGTTTCATTTCAGAACGTGTCTTCATTTCCTTTTATTACTTTTAGGAAGGCGCAACTTGCATTAACATCAAGGAAAAGGAACTGCATTAAAAGAAAAGGAGTCAGGTTCCGTGCTGCCCACTAGCGCCTCTTGAGCTCAGGGACCACGGAGCAGTCTGTTCTCACCAGGTTTCTTCTTGTCCTTTTTTTTTTTTTTTAAATATGGGTGAGGAAGGCACAGGATGCAGGAAGGACAAACACTCCACCACAGTGCAGCATGGGGGGCGTGCAGAGAAAGACATATGTCTCACCAGATGAGCCAGAAAGAATTACTGAAAAAGAGCACCTCCAAACAGCCTGCTTTGGCGATTCCTATAAACCACAGGATTCTGCAGAAAGGGGCTAGTTGTCGCTTGCAGAAACCTGGTTTCCATCTTGCAATCAAAATAACTGAGTTAAAAGCCATCAAAGCAGAGGGAGCTTTTGAGAACAAACATATCCTTAGTGTCAGGAGCTAGAAGGTCAAGGCCAGGTGGTGTACAACCAGGCAAAGGGCCCCTGTGCCTGGGCCAGTGGCAGTACTGAGGAGACCTTGAGGGGAAATATTTATATTCAGAACAACTCGAGAAGGAATGAACAGATGACTCCCCACAGTGTGCTGGGTGTTGGGAAAAGAGAAGGGGAAGGGAGTAGAGAGACAGACAGACATCGTCAGGTGCACTGGCATATGCTGCAATCCCAGAGTCTCAGGAGGCTGAGGCAAGAGGATCACAAGTTTGAGGCCAGCCTCAGCAACTTGAGAGACCCTGTCTCAAACATTAAAAGGAGCTGGGGAGGTGGCTTAATTCTGCAGGGGCCTAGTGTTCAATCCCCAGTACTTTAAAAAGAGAGAGAGAGAGAGAGAGAGAGAGAGAGAGAGAGAGAGAGAAACAGACAGACAGGCAGAAGATGGAGATGGTAGAGAATGGACACCAGAAGGAAAGGGAAATGACTATGGCTGTCTTCTAGAAGTTCCCAGTTTGGTTGGAAAGATAGGCAACTACTGACATGAAAGAAAGCAAGTGCAGAAAAACAGGGACCCCAGCAGAACCACACATACCGCCGAGGGGGGAAGGCTGCCACTTGGGGGTGGGGGGCTGCTCAGGAAGTAGGACCATGGAAGGAAGCAATTGGAGGAGGAGGGGCTGGTGGGGGCAGGGAAGCCAGCAGCTGCCAAGGCTGACGGACACTGGCAACTCTGAGGCCTTCTGTGAATTCTGATCCCCAGGCTGGGCAATCTCAAGGGGGAACCTGGCCAGTAGTTCTAGGCTCAGGACCAGGCACCTGGGCTGCTGCAGAGCGCCATGGTGAGAAGCCCCAGCCAGAGACCCACAGGGACCAGGCAAGCAGAGCGGGTATGGGGTTCGAGTTCTAATCATGAACCAAGCCCCAGTTCTCGAGAACCCACAGGGGCGCTGGCACAGGACCCGGCACGGGCCAGGCTATGAATTATGGTGGCTGGTTATTACTGTCACTGTTAGGGAGGAGCGGCCTGGCGACATGGCTCTGTCTGCAGTTCAGAAGCACGAGTCCCAAGCCACCTTTCAAACAGGACCGATGGGAAGTGGGGGGCAACTCTTTCTCCACTCGCACAGAAACAGATGAAGACCACATTTTTTTGGCAACAGAGAAGTGGGTGTAGAGATTTAAAATTTAAGTCTCCCCCTTCCTCTTAAATACATGCACGAAAGCAATCTTAACCCAGTCTGAGCTCTGGGATGGCTGCCAGCGCCCCTGTGTGATTTGGAGACCAGAGCCTAGCCAACTAGTTTTTTACTGTCCATTCAGAACTCTAGAGCATGGTGATGGAGCAGGAGTGTACGGCAGGGACCAGGGGACCAGGTGCTCCTGGCTCTGGGAGATAATAATAAGTATCCTATTAGGGCATGGTGCCCCTCCACAGCATAACCACAACTGCTTCCCAACCAGGAACAGAGAACTCTGCAGTCATTTCTGCCAAGGCCAGGGTCTATCTGGTGCTCCACCCAGCTAACCGGATGGCTTTTATGATGAGAGGATTTTCATCTTGCAAATGCCTGTGTCTCTCTAGCCTCAGACCCCACAGTTCTTCCTTTTCTTAGCATATTCTGCCCATGGCAGGGGCTGGATATGCATCTTTCAGAGCCCCACTAAAACTGTTTCCTCAGGAAGGACTACTGTGTCTTCTAGAACGTTGCATCCTCTGCAATGCCCAGTCTGTGGGAGCCGTGAGCACCATCTAAAAAATGCCTGAGAATCAGAAACTGCAATTGGTGGAGGAAGAGGACAGGAAGCCACTCACAAGACGCTGGCTTCAAGGGCAGCTGGCTCTGCACACACAGCCTACTTAGAATCAGGGATCGGGCTGGCTGGCCCTTTAAGAACCACTCAGCCCAGTGTCCCACAGACACCAGCTCAGTTAAATCGGTGCCTGTAAAATGCTTTCAGAGCCCACTGGATTTGCACAGGGTCCAAAAATGAGGGCTGTGAGCTCGAGGAAAACCCAGGTGTAAATTCTGCTCCAGTGGTCTGTGTGACCAGGGGAACAATGACCTATCTCTCTAAAGGGCACATAAAAAAGTGTCTACCTCAAGAGGTTGTTGTGGAAAGCTGAGTAAGATCACATATGTAAGGTGCTCAGCACAGTGCCTGGTGCACAGCTAAACGCACCATAAAAAAATAATTAAAGCTGGGCACGGTGGCTCACACCTATACTCCCAGCAGCTGGGGAGGCCAAGACAGGAGGAGGCTGGAGAGGTTGAGACAGGAGGATGGCGAGTTCAAAGCCAGCCTCAGCAATGGAGAGGTGCTAAGCAACTCAGTGAGACCCTGTCTCTCAATAAAACACAAAATAGGGCTGGGGATGGGGCTCAGTGGTCAAGTGGCCCTGAATTCAATCTCAGGTACCATAAAATAATAATATTAATCATCATCATCATCATCATCATCATCAAGTGGCTATGAATGATGATGAAGTCAGCTGTCCCTCCAGTCTCCTCTAATTAAATTCACAGGAAAATAAAATGCAGCCACAAACAGCACTCTTTATTTCAAAGGTAAGGCTGCACAGGAAGATGTGTGACCAACCTTCCTCAGTCACGTGCCCTTCTTAAAATGTAACATTAATAAATATATCTCTGGTGAGAAATTCATTGCTTCATTGTGCCAATGAACAAGATTGTCAAAGAGAAGCTAAAATTTTTTTTGAAAATAAACAAAGACCAAAAAAAAAAAAAAAAAAAGAAGAAGATACTTAGAGATGACCAAATCCCCGGAGAATCTGGGTGAGTGAGGACCTTGAAGAAGTCAGAGCTAATATAAATAAAACAAAAAATTCAAATAGCAAGATGCCCCCACCCCCCCCCAGCATTCCCTTTCTTTCTGAACAGCTTCTACTTCTTATAAAAGGTCTGCAGTCTTGTGTCCAAAACTGCAGGCCCCTCTCTAGGAAAATTCACATGCGACAAGAGACTTTGCTGGGGAGGGACACAGGCCACCCTCCAGATGCGCAGCACAGAAGCTACAGAAGCTAAGTCAAGAGGCGGTACTGGGGTCCCTGCAGTGGGGTGGTAACGCCTGCCATACAAACAACCGCAACCCCAAACCTGAGCCTTTTAGGAATCGCCTTACCTTCAACATGCCTTCAGAACTACCGGGGTGTACACAATCAATGACAGCCAAGGGACGCTTCAGGAAGCACCCAAGGTACCAGTATTAACCCTTTCAGAATGAGGAAATGTATGACTCTCTAAGCACAAGAACAAATTCTCATAAAATACCCCACATATTCCCAAACTACCATCCAGAGCTGCCCATGCACACCAGCACCATCAGCACCAGGTGCTCACCTAGGAGCGCACCGCTCCAGGCCCTCATCTGGAAGGTCTGAGGGTAGGAAAGGGACTGGCCAACCGCCAGACCCAAGGTGCCATCCCAGCCCCGTTCAGGGAGGCCCCTGCTTCAGGGAG